GAATATGCCTACTTCAAACCCTTGCATATTTTTTCGTACTTCTTCATAGTGTTTGTATTGTCCCGTTCCATGTAAGACAGGATAAGATTCGCTTTGAAAATTGACTAAAAAATGAGAAATAATCAAAAATCCTTAAAAGTCTTATGTTTTTAAGGCACACAAACATAATTATTTCAAACATTCTTCAAAATGTTTGAAATTATCTAATATTCTTTAAGGATGTAGAAAATCTTTTTGATACATGAAGTATTTACTTTGAAACCAAAACTTGAAAAGTCCTTTTAGACGCCTCCCGAACGACTCTGTTGCCGTTCGACTCAATTTTGTTTGCACCAAGACAGTTTTTTTAAAATGAATAACTTGATAAACACTACATTTTGACACTCGTTTAAGAAAAATCGATTTTTTCGTGTTGCACACCTATAGGGAATATTAAAGACGGCTGTTCAGTTGGAATGTAATTTGTGCAATATTTTAGTAAGACGGAAATATATAGACATTCACCTTTGTCATACTTACTTTATCTTCTCTCACTTGAATATAACACACATCTACAAAAAGCGTTAAACTAAAACGATGAAATGATGAAACGATGATGAAATTGTTTCTATCGAGTCCAAAGCTTTTATCTGCTTTATCAGCGATTTTAGAAAAGCAAAGCTAAGCACTTTTTTTTCATATTTCCTGGTATGACTCGGTAATGTATAACAGAGGGGGGGGGGGGGGGGGGGAGGTGAAATTTTGAAATGTCCAGAATAATTCTTAACACCCCCCTTAAAGTCATGCAAAAAATACGATCCTCCTAAGCAAGGCTTGTAGCTTTTTCCAAGAATTGTGCATCCCCCCTTTTTCTGATAAAAATTTTGCCTATCCCCTCTTTTTCCTACCAAAATTTTCCTGATCCCCCCTCAATTTCACCTATCCCTCCCTCTGCCATAYATTATGAACACAGCCCAAGTAAGACAGGATAAGATTCGCTTTATTTGATCGAAAATCTTACCATAATTTTAAGGCACACCAACATGATTTTCTTCAAAATGTTTGAAATTGTCTAATATTCTTTAAGGCTGTGGAAAATCTTTTTGATACATGAAGTATTTTATTTTGAATCCGAAGTTTAAAAAGTCCTTTTAGACGACTCCCGAACGACTCTGCAGA